GCCTGTGATTTATTCTATTTTCATGCTCAATGTATGAGTATATTCCATATATGTCATCAAGAGCTATTGTTGTTTGATGAGCATCACTACAGAATTTAAATATTGTCTTCTTGAAAAACTGAATTGAGATGAACTCAAATTCATTCATATTTAATATATGTCAGTCTTTTCTATATGATTTCTGCAGTTACTGTAGAAATGAGTGAAGAAGTGGAAGTCTTGACAGATATGTTGTTGAAATTTCAAGTGCTTGAATATCTTTATCTGACTGCAACTGAAAGAAGATGTTAGATGTGACATGTATGTCTGTTGATCTGTATTGTGGCTCTGCAATGCTGGAGTCTTTATCATCATTCTGCTTGTGTGTATTCAGTTGCAGCAGTTCAGTTATCAGTGTAGAATATTCATGATGAAGAATTCAGAGATGATCTGTAGTAAGAGACTTCAAATCAACAAAGAAATCAGTCAACAGCAGAGATAGAATGTGTTTAAAACTTTTCTGTATAAGCAATATTTTTTCAACATCTCTCTTGTTGATTTTGTGAATTAGACTCTTGTATTTGCAATGCTTATTCTCCCCAATCAACACATTGCAATTGTTTGCAATCTCATATTTCCATGTCTGATCAGTATAGTGTATCTCAATGTGCATGTTGAAGTGATTCTTTAATGCATTCAAGACTTTCTCTGTCTTTGATGTGATGCTACTTAACTGTTCAGTTGAGTTCTCTATTTATGATATCTGACTTGATATGAAGATCTGCTGAAATTGTAAAATCATAAATGCTCAGTCTTCTGATTATGACAGCTCAGTGACTGTTGCAGCAGTGTTTATTATCTTCTATAGCAGAAAGTGATCTTCCATCACAATAGTCTGAAGCTTTGCTGGCTCAATTGGTGTTTGTGATATCAATACAGAGTTGCTCTGAGCAACAGCACTGAATGCTTTAGCAAGAAGCATACATGAAGCTCTTAATTCAAGTATTATATTATTAAAGAAATTGCATAATGCCTGCTGTACTACTGGTTGAATTCAGTCTGAAGTCATAGCATATTGAAGAATAATTGAAATTGTGATGAATGCTTGAGCATGCTTCTGAATCTGATAGAAGTTCAAATGAATTATTAAAGACTGTATTCAGTCATTCTATCTTGTGAATGAAAACTGCTGTAGTATCTGACAGTATTTCTTCTGATCATTTGCTGTGAGAATATATGTTATTAACAGTAAATGCACCATTTTGAAAATACCACTTAGTTCACTATGACAGGAATCTGAGGAGAAGAAGATGATTAAATTCAGACATAAGCAGATTTCAAATATTGAAAACTGATTCTTTATCATTTCATGCTTCTTTCACAGCTTGTCTCTCATGACAGTGGTGGGTGCTGCATTAATCTATTTTCTTATATAAAGTTGCTGGTAGTGATATTGACTGTTAATCACTATATTAAATAATATATTGTGTCTCTGATGTTCAGTGACAGTACAACTCTGACATGATTGAGTGACTGAGAGTTTTTTAATTGCTGCATTATTGTTCTGCTGTAGCATGTTACTTAAAAAAGTAAGACAGGAAGCAATTACTCTGACAGTTCTCTTACTGACAATTTTAACATTAATATCTTTGTTGAGAGATTGAAATTCTGATGTGAGTGTATCAACTGAATTGAAGAAGTTTGTCACATGTAGTCTGAATGAGATAGTATAGACATTATTTCTTCTTCTTCTCTTAAAAACAGAAAGTTCAGTGAAAATTAGATAGAAGTCTGTAATGTTTCTGTACATGTTGTAATATAATTCAAATCCATCAATAAAAAGCTGGAATGAAACAGAGATAACCCATGTTATTGTATGATTGAGGCAGAGCATTCTCTTGAGATTATCTCTGTCATAGTAAATGATCTCCAGTTCTCCACACAGAGAAGTACTGTGATTAAGTGAACAGATATTCATCTGATTGTTGACTGTGTTGAGAATCTGATGCATAAAGTATTCAGCATGTGTAGAAGATGGATCTTGCAGATTTCTGTTGAAGACATAGTCAAGAGAAATGTTCAGTTGACTGAGTATATTTTCTTCATATAATAAAATCTGTCTCTCTTTATTTTCTAACAAGAGCAATTCTCTCTTGTGGAAAGCCAGTTTCATGTCTTGAAATGATGTGCTGTCTGGATTGAGATCATGTTAAATAATAGATTGAATTCTCAGAAGAATCTTGTCAGATTTCAAGATATTAAATTTCTAATCTCAAACAATAAATTGAACTCTTTCTGTATGAAAGATATGCTGCCTCACTCTGCATGAGCATTTGCTTAGACTGCATCTGTATTGAATAAAATCTGAGAAGAATACTGATTCTTCATCAGAATATCTTGTGAAGTTCTCTGAGATAGATCTTGTGAAGCTATTCCAACTGAGAGACTGTCATAGTTCAGTTGGACTGTCTATCAACTCAGCCATGTCAATGTGTATATTCTGACAGAATTCTGATGACTGAGCAAGAGCTGCAAGTAGAGCAACAGAGTTCTGAAAGAACAACTCTGACTGTAACAGAGCTTTAAGTAGATTCTGATTTGCAGCAGATAATGTTAACATTTGCTGCAGAATGATTAAAATGAATATTTGTTGAATAAGCAAAATGAGAAATTGTGATTTACACTTTCTCTTCAGAATGCTGAGATCTTTGAGTAGAGATTTAATGATATAAATATTCTCAAATAGATTGAATACTTCTTGAAGTGATTGATACTGCTGATGAGATATTTCTGACTGTTCACATCACAATTTCAGTGCAATTGCAAAGTGATTGAGACTCTCATGTTCTCTGACTCTTATGTGTGGTACTGTCTGAAAAGTATTGTCTTTCAGATTCAGAATACTGCTTTCAACTGACTGCTTGTCTGCTATATCTGTTGATACAGAATTGTAGATGATATTCTTCTCTTCATTGAAATTGTCAATGTTGAGTAATGTATGCACAAGAGTCTCTTTAATAATGTCATTGACTCTTATATCTTTCAGCTCAGAATCAACATCTAAGATGTCAGAAAAGATCTGCACATCCAACTGTAAGTTTAAAGATCTACATACAAAGAGAAAGAAGAATGGACATACTGCTGAATTGTAAGCTTCTTTAACATCATTCAGATCTGTAAATGTATTGAGTTTTAAAGATATATGATCTTCTGGTGGCATCTCTGACATAGCTGGAATGTCTGCAGTTTGCTGTAACTGTATAACAGCTTCATGAATCTGACTTTATGCAAGAAATTTCATGAACTTCTTATGATTTCTGTGAATCATGTTGCAGCTGGGAGGTGGCTGGTCAAAGAGAAGAGTTGAAAAGTTGAGAAGTTGCAGCAGATGAGATTCTGATTGTCAAGTAGTACAGCAAACAATATAAGAATTATTGATATGCAGCACTGAAAAAGAAAGAAAGAAAGATTTAAAAGATCTTTAATAAGATTTTAATTATATATTTATAAATGAATGTGAAGTAGCAAACTGAAATGTGCAATGTTGAAATCTGCAGATTCACAACTTCAAATCTGCAGATCAACAGTTTCAGTCAGATTGATTGATCTGCTCAAATGCAATGCAGAACATTCATTAAATTGATTGACTTGTTACAGTTAGTTTCAGAGACACAGTTCTGTCTCAGAGCAGTTTAATGACTTTTATTAAATTAAAATTCATCACATTGATGTTATGTCTTGTTCTGGGGGCATATCTATATAAAAATATGCTTTTCTCCAGTTATCCATCTTCTGAAAGATCAAGCTCACCACACTGTTATTAATATTAGTTATGATAATCATATTTTCAGTCACTTCAGCAAAGCACACACTTTTCTGAATCATAGCTATTGATTCAGAACTGAATGCAGCAGTCTTCTTCTTCACCTCCATTATGATCACTGCAACAGAAGAAGAAAACACAACTAATTCAAAGCTTGTACAGTTAATAATACTCCATATGACTGCTCTTTACACCAAGAAGACAAGCACTTAAGAGAAGACTATGATTATCAGATTGAAATGGATGTACTTTCTAATACTGAGCTATGACAGAATTCTGAACATTGTCAAGAAAGTTTACTCCTCTCTCAACACAGCATGCAGGACAGAGTACTGATGTTCTGAATATAAGAAGCAGACAAGAGATATAGTAAAGAACTGAAAATGCATTACTTTAAAGAGATTTAAAATAAGTTCTCTATTCATTCTTGTATGAAGAAATTCACTAACAGAATACCTACAGGCACATATTAGCAAAGTTGTGAAAATAAATTTTCAAGAGAATCTCAAGTGTGGGATTCACACAGTGAAAGATTCATTCAAGCTCATCAGTTATTTCACAAGAGAATTCAATACTGGTGGCTTCTGCAATGTGTTTTACTGAATAACTAAAATTCTGAATATCAATAACAGTTCACTGTGAGAAAAGTGATTTATGAAGTGTAGATTAAGTTTATGCATTTGCAAATGAAGTTAATTAGTTCTAACTGTTTGATATAGAGATATATGCAAATCTTGCAATCTGAATGAAGCTCTTTCTTAATATTGATGAGTGGGATTGAATCTCTGAAGATATCAGAACTCTCAGTCAGTACTGAAATATTATTACAAAAAAGTTGAGACTTTATGATATTATACAGAATGACTTTGTAAAATTAAAGATGTTAACTGTGAAAGTATCTCAGTAACAGTCTAAGAAGAAGATCAAGATACTTGATGATATTATACTGATAAAGAAAATGCTTCTGAAGAAGTCATCAAAGAAAAAGTTCAAATGAGAGCCACTCAAAAAGATACAGCAGTCTGCTGGAAACCCACCAACTGCACAGAAAATAATCAATAATAATCAAGCTCTGCTGAGAGAAGAAGAAGATGATGATCAGAACTTTGAACTTCTTTCTTCTCTGATGCAAGCAACAGCTCTGATACAAGCAACAGCTTCAGTGCAAGCAGCAGTTCTGATGCAAGCAGCAGCTCTAATGCAAGCAACAGCTTCAGTGCAAGTAATAGTCTCAGCACAAGCAGCTTCTCCAGCACAAGCAGCTGCCACACCAGGAGCAATGATCTTCTGTATATGAACAAGAAGAGAATAAATAGCTGTAATTAAAGCGAGCTTCATCTTAATTAAAGAGAACATGTCAGTTCTAGGC